TTTTATTGTATGATTTTTTATGTATAAAATTAGCCGTCCCTTGGATTATACCGAATGAAATATATGATTTTTATACTGATTGTACCGTACGATGTCCACAATATTGGATGACCACCCATGTATGAAGTTGGCCATCCTAAGGATCGTCCAAAATGAACATAAGGAATTTATACATATAGTATCATCCGAAGTTTGATCGTACTACATGATATAATAAAAGTTGAACAATTTATCTGAATGATCTTGTTGGATAAGTCTGAATTGAACTGATCTTACTGTACGATACATCTATTGTACTATACGAACATAAGAAGGATGATTTGAAATTTAAAGTTTTTTCAAGCCCGATATTTAAGAGTTTTATATATTCTTTTTGGAGAAAAAGGATTCATGTAGCCGACCCCACGTAGTGGGATAAAGGCTTGATGTTGTTATTGTTGTTGTATATATTCTTTTTAGAAATCTTTTACGGTTCAGTCTTGTTTAGAGAGAGCTTGAGTGAGAGAAGAAGGAGAGCATGGTGAGAGAAGAGAGGGAGATTTTGTGAGGGAGAAGTTATATGGGGGTTTACAATGTTGATCTAAGTAAGAATCTTGCCTAGTACTTATAAGCGTCTGCCTGGAATCTCTGTGGCTTCAGAGAAGAAGTTATTTAACAAAGATTGTGGTTCTTTGACCATCACTTGAAGGGTAAAAATAGAGTTTTGGTTCTCTGACCATCTTCAAGAGGGTGAAAATAGAGTTGAGATTCTCTGTATGTAAAAGAGTCATAGTTCTCTACTGCATCTAGGAGGTGAGACAGCATCTGTACAAGCTTCTCCTCCTTATTATAGGAGCAAAAGGAGAGTCACTTCGGTTTAGTGCAATACTTGGGGAGGGAGTCTCCAAGGAGTGGACGTAGGTCAGGTTTATCGAATCACTATAAATTTTGGTGTGCTATTTCCTTTTATTATTTTCTCTTTTTTTTCTTGTGATTAATTATGTGGGTCAAAACATTGATTTATCTTTGTATTATGAATTTAATTCATTTTTGTATCAAGTTATAAAAGGATTTTTCTTGGTGTTTAAGGAATTTTTTTAAATAACCAATTCACCCCTCTCTTGGTTAGCCTTGGGACTATTTCTTTATGGTTTAATAACCCTCACAAACTTTTATTTATCACATGAGTTATAATAAAACATTTACGAATTCGATGGTACTAAGATGCAAGCTTTCCGGAGCAACCATGTGAAGCTTCCTCCATACTCCCTTGAACCCCACAGGATCTTCTCCCTCTTAAGCTCCACCCTTTCCTCTCTCCCTTTTAAGGCTCTCCCTTCAAGTTTTCTTTAGAATAATTGAGACTCAATGCATGCCAAAGACACTTATAATGACTATGGAGAAATCTTAAATAGAGGGCGTTAATAAACCCTTAAAATCAATTCTACCTACAAAGATCGTTTAAGATGATCCTGAGATCGTCATGTATGATTATTACAAAATAGCCCTTTTTTCTAGTACGATCAGTTCAAGTATTGGCATAAATCATCCAATATGATTATGAGATGATCCGGGATGATTAGTTCAAACCAAAATGTAATTCGTCTAGGCCAAAAACATGGGATGACCAAAATCATCTCTATTGATCGTACAGTAAGATTCAGTTCATACAGTACAATCATAATATTTAAATTAAGTATATTTGATTGACTAATCATAAGATCAATTTAAGCATGATTCTAATAGATCATCCAGTATGATATACATCATTCTGGATGATTAGAATAAAATATGAAATTCAAAAGCTTGCATAAATTATGATTGTCTGCTATTTTTCATGATCATAACTGATCGCCCCGAATGATTCAAATCCTCCAGTATGATTAGTTAGATGAGCTAATTATATAGTATGATTAGTTCAAAAATTGAACTTCTGGTTTTAACTCAAACTCATTCCCCCTGAGTGTGTGTGTGTATGCATGATCACCAAGCTAGCATACACCCTTATAGTACTTGACTCAAGAAATAAAAAATACATCAATAAATATTATTAAAATCTTTAAAACATAACTTGTTCATCCAATGTTTAGCCTTGAATCTTTGTTTGATGGTGCATGATGTTCTTGAAATGTTAGTACTCACATAAACAAAAATATATTACAAATATAAGTAGACACAAGGATGTGAGCCACAATATTTGTTATCATCAAAAATATAAACTCGTGAGCTCGAGTTGCAACATTATATATTCTCTCTCTCTCTCTCTCTCTCTCTCTCTCTCTCCTCTATATGTGAATTGATGTCACTCACAAGAAGAAGAGCCTAAAATAATGACTTAAGCCATCTTTAACTGAATTCTCATGATCCCTTTGCAAATACTTTCCTTTTTTTAATTCTTGGGCACTTCTTGTAAATAAAATTAGCATATAAGCTGATATTTTTTTATTTCCAATTTTAATTTAAGAAAAATTTTAGATTTTAATATTCACCCTTATCACATAATAACTACATCAAATTTCTAGAAAAAGTCGAATAATTATATTCACTATTAAATCCAAATTTGTTTATGGATGATACACGACTCTGTTAGTAAGTTGTTGATGGGTCAGCATGATAACTAAGTGTAGAAAATCAAAATATATGGAGAGTTAGTAGTAAGCTATAGTATCACTATAAATATTCTCAACAATATGAATTTCCAAAATATGCTTCTTCATCATTTATTTATAAGATTAAAATGACTAAATAAATACTACACCAAAAAACTAAAATATAATAACTTAATATAACTGTTATAGACTGACACTTGACTATGGACTAGCAATATGATATAGATGTAGATCCATATTTCCAATGTACCCCCTACTCTAAGGCGAGTATTCGAGGGAAAGCATCTTAAATGAGTTTTTAGGATCTAGGTTGTAGAGTAAATCTATGATGGAGAGTTCTTAGGAATAAAGGGTGATTCCCTGTATTAAACGTCGAATTCTCAGGAGTGAGGAGATAGTTCCATTGATAATGGCAAATACAAGCTAGGAATAATTCCAATTAGTGAGGTGTAGTCATAGCCTTCATAGGTGTGAGCTTCTTGCAAGTTGGTAGGGGATGCTTGTGATAGGTAAATGACCTTGGTCAAAAGCCCAACAATTATAGGTGAGCGGGTTTGATTGAGGCAAGTGGTCCTCAAGTGTGGATAATTATGGGTGGGCCCTTTAAAGGAGCTCATTAAGAATGTTTACATTATTTATAGTGGTGTCAACTTCTGACACAACCCAGAAATTTTGATTTTGGGTTAACCTGTTTAATAATTGGGTTGGGTTCATATTCTAATTTTTGACCCATTTAAAAAATTTGACGTGTTCAAGTCAACCTATTCACCCGAAAATGACTTAGAAATAACCCGCATGGAGCCCCGTGCATCCCGTAGTCTCATTCACACCACATCAAGCACGTTGCTTGCCTGCAGCTTACCTCTCTCTTGACCCCCCATGCTCGTGCTAGCAGCCTTGAACCTATGCCCACTAGCCCATTTGCAATTACATACGCACTCACATCGCAGCCTGCGCTCGACTATTGCCTGCTTTATGCTCACTTGTTCAATGTGTCGGGTTCAAATTTCTTACCCATTTGTGCAACCAGCTCAGATTCGAGTTGGATCAATTATGGGCGAGTCAATTTCAATTTGGTCCCGAACCCAACTGAAAAACTCATTTAATTATTAATATGCTCTCTAAGTACAAGCACCTCAATGCAATCTCGGTAGGAGAAAGTGGTTGCTTCACTATGAGCTAGTACTAGCTACTACTTTGTGTGGACACGATCCTTTCGGGTGACTGCCAATTTGACTATGTGAACCCCTAATTGAGTTCCTTGAGACGAACTTATTATATGCGTATGTGTTATCTTTTTTTTTTAAAGAAACAATAACTGCATTAATTAACAAAAAGAAAGAAACAAACTACAAGGTGCATCCTACAGATTCCTCCTTTAACACTTTAAGAAATGACGAAGGAACCTTATTCATAACAATGTATTCCCAAACAAAAGAAGAAAAAATAGCATAGTTAGCACATAGGTCTGCTAACTTATTAGAACTTCTCTATATACAATTAAAAATCACAAAATTAAAATTCTTGATAAAAGAAAAGCCTTCTAATCCTTGCTCGCCTTTTTTAATCGAATCCTCAATGAACTTTATGAGGTTTGTATTTTCTCCTTCAATGATGAATCCTTTATACTCAAACATCCAATCTTTAATAACATCTTTGATGTCTTTTATAGCTAGAAGCTCCAAATAAGCTATATCCCAATGAATACAAGATTTGACAAAAGCCAATAGAAACCTGCCTTTTTGGATCTCGAAAAACACCTCCTATGCCTCCTTTATAAGACCGCAATAAGGCAGCATCCAAATTAATTTTGATCCAATCGGGTGGAGGAGGATGCCAAGTATTTTCCAACAGCAAATGCTGATTGTCAACCAACTGGCCTGAGCTATATAGATTACAACATATAGAAATAGTAACATAACCAATCACCTCAGAAGCAATGAACATTGAGCTCCTCTCCAATTTCCCATGAACCACTTCATTCCTATCCTTCCAAGTAAAGTACACCGAGTTGCAAAACAAATTCACCAATAATAAACATATATGAGTATACAATCATACTTACTATTGTTATTAATTGAAGTAATTGTTATAATTAAAAATCCTTAAATAAAATTTATTTTTAAATAAATATTTTAAAAAATAATTTTATTATAAAATTCTCAAAACATATTCCTATTTACTTTTATTTTTAGGTCATATTTTTAATATAATAAAAATCTTGATAAAAAGAATTTTTTGCATTTACGATTAAATATTATTGAATTTAATTTGATTCTCCTCGATAAAAAAATTATAAAATTAAATTTAAATACAATAATTTTTAATGTTCATATTATTATTGTAATATATAATTTACAAATTCGCAAATAACTAAGGGTCCTGGAGTCGTTAAATAGCGCCGTGTGCTAGCAAAACGATACTTCTCCACCTCCTAGTAAGCTGGGTGATCTCCGAAAGGTTATTAAAAAATAAAGCCCACAAAAAAAACAAAAAAATTTGTTCCCCTCACAACACCAAGAAAATGGCACAAAATACGTCAACACCGACGGCGGAGATTCGTCCATCGCGCTTCGTGATTGATCCGGAAGAGGCGGAGACGATGCGTCAGGAGATGGGCATCGCCGCCCTCCGCGACCTCCTTCCGGCGCTTCTTCCAGAAGCCCAAAAACTCGCCCGTCCCGCGATATCCCGATTCCATGTAGGCGCCGCCGCCCTCGGAACCTCCGGCCGGATCTATCTCGGCGCCAACATCGAGTTCCCAGGCGTCCCTCTTCACCACTCCATCCACGCCGAACAATTCCTCATCACCAACGCCGCCTTACACGCCGAACCCTCGATCCGCTTCATCGCCGTCTCCGAGTTCCCTTGCGGCCACTGCCGGCAGTTCTTGCAGGAGATCCGAAACGCATCTCAGATACAGATCCTCATAACTGGCGGTTCAGGCGGCGGCTCCGGCGACTTTCGACCGGTTTCCTATTTCCTACCAAACCCTTTCAGCCCTTCCGATCTGCTGCATCGAGACACTCCCCTGCTCCTTGAGCCCCATTTCAACGATCTAATCGAGGAGGTAGAGGAAGTTCGAGTGATCAATAGCGGATTGGAGGAGCGGCTGAAGATGGCGGCCTTGAAGGTTGCAAGGGCGTCGCATGCGCCGTACAGCGGAAGCGCGTCCGGATTCGCGCTGGCGGATGACCAGGGTAGGGTGTATGCGGGATCGTACACGGAATCGGCGGCGTATAATCCTAGCCTGGGGCCGGTTCAGGCGGCAATTGTCGCTTACCTGGCAGCCGGAGGCGGCGGTGGCGGCGGAGGAGTGGGAGAGGGCATAGTGGCAGGGGTACTGGCGGAGAGACAAGGGGCGGCGGTGTCGCAGGAGGAGACGGCGAGGATTTTATTTTCGGCGGTGGCGCCCAAAGCCCGGTTCAGTGTTTACCGGCTCAGGGTCCCGGCCGGATCGGCTTAGATTCGGTGCTCGGGGGGAATTTGGTGATCGAGTTGGTGAGAAAGAATGTACGGTGAGATTTAACTATTATAAATTTACAATGTTTGAGAAGTTATAATAAATAAGTGCAGAGTTCTAAGTAATGAAGTTATTGTGATGATAATCTTTTCATATGAAAAAAATTCTGAAAATTATAAAAATAACTGAGATTCTTTTTTTTTCCCCCAAAATTTTAAGAATGTTATCTTTTAATAATAACTTCTCTTAAAATTTTAGAAAGGGACATATTTCCGCCTAAAAATACCTTTTTAAATATGATCGAGTCAGCCACATTGCTTTGGATTGTTAAACCTATTATACGTTGTTGTCTAATACAATGAATTTAATATGTAAAAAGAATTAAAATTAGATATAAATATGTTATTATTATTATTATTATTATTATTATTATAATGGTTATGTTTAAGGGTTTGTGGTTTTATGGTTTTATAGGTTGATTTTTTTTTTTTGAAATTTTTTTATTTTTTATTTTGGTGATGTAATATGATCCATGGTGATTTATAAATTGGATTGAATTAATTTGTGCATCGATGCACTATTTGATTGATTTGACTGATTGACTAATGCAACAACAAGAATTTATCCCACAATGTGAGTTCTACTATATGAATACTTTTTCATTATTGTGTATTATTAAAAGTTAATTTCTCATTTAAATATAATAAAAAAGTTTTTTTTTAATACTTTCTAATCAAATCTTTTTAGGTCTACCTTAATCTTTCTAAAAATAGGTTAAATCTTGCATATTTAATCTGCTAACACAATCATCAAAAGGTTGACGTTTTATGTAACTAAAACATTTAAGATGACTTTCTGAATTTTATTTGTCATTAAAGCTACTCCAATATTTTTAAGTATGCATACCCTTTTCCAGTGGAGGAGCCAAAAATTTTGTCACGGGGAGAGGGGGTGCTAAATTAAAATAGTTATGTTTGTTGTCTTATTTAAAAGGTTAAAATATATTTGTTGTGTCCAGGAGTATTCGAGACGGTAGAGAAATATAAAGTTTAACGTCTTAGCGTTGTACGAAAATCCGGCATGCAATCAGATAAGAGAAAAGGTCTAGCATTTAGAAGACACCAAAATTTTTACGTGGAAAACCCCTAAAAAGGGAGAAAAACCACGGGGCCGAGCCCAACTTGAATGAATCCACTAGTATAATAGTTGATTACAAATAAGGCCCTTCCTTGGGGAATGGCCTTATTTTGGTGTACATCTCATAGAGTATATTACATGGTGAGAATACAAAAAATCACTGCTGATGTATTTGTTTGATTTGAGGGATTGTAGTCGGCGGACGACGGAGGTCGGAAGGACTGCAGTCTGCTGGCGATGTAAGTCAGGAGGAACGTAGTCGGCTGGCAACGAAGGTCGGAAAGACTGTTATTTGATGACGAAGGTCAGAAGGACGGCATCCGGTAGAACTCCAACAATGGAAAGAAATCTATCTTCGGATAGATGTCCAGTGAAAGTTCGATAACCAGTAAAAGTCCGGCATCAGGTAGAAACTTGGCGTGAGTGAAGGTCTGGCATCAGGTAGAAGTCTGACGTCTGCTGGAAGCCGAGGAGAACTACGACGTCACTTGGGTGGAGTTTCGGCGTCAGGAGGGAACTCTGTCTCTAATTGGAAAGAATTTCAGCATCCCGTGGAAGTTGGGCAGAATTCTGGCGTTCTCTCGAATATCCGGCAGAATTCCGGCGTGTTCGGGCGACGGGAAGAACTCCGGCGGTGGTCGAGGAGGAGCTGATTCTCCTTCCCCTTCTCTTCTTCTTCTCTTCTTCTTTTCTTATTCTTCTTGCTTGGGTCCCCTCTCATGAGAAATGATGGGTCTATTTATAGATTTTCTGGAGTGGTATAGCTTGTAAATAGGTGTGAGATCAGGGGCAAATAATGAGTGGTCGAATTAACAGCTGATATTGAATCCTTTGATCTTGTAGCATTTGTCCAATATTTGAAGGCCTTAATGATGTCAGAATTTGGAGATACTGGGCTCGTTGGATTCGTCTCGTCGAGTCGCTCAATTCAACTATAAGCACGTCAAAATCGGAGACCGTTTGGCAACTCAAATTGTGGTACGAACTTTCCAATAGCGCTTCGGGTGCTCGATTTGGGCTCAGATTGAGTTGAATTTGGTGTCGTTGGGTTTATATTTTTGAGACGCTCAGTTTGACTATAAGCTCACTGAAATCGGAGTTCAGGTGCTCTCGAATTTAATTTTTGAAGTTTCTAACTTGATTTTTGCCTCGAGATTCGTGCCCGGTCAAGATAATTTTATGATGACGTATCAATATTAAAATAGTTCCGTTTGTCGTTTCATTACCAAGAGGAGATGTAAGATCAAAATTAAGAATGCAAATAAATGGACCCTTATAGCTTAAAAGACATAACCATTTGTCACGAGTAGTCTTTGTTTGGGGCGAGAGAGGAGTAAAAGGGAAAACGAAAGCCATGCTCGAGGTTATGACTCATGAGTCATAAGAGAGGAGTAAAGGGGAAAATAAACCATTGATGCTTTTCATGTGTCAAGAAAAAATGTTGGTGGCTTATCTGGATTAATAAATAACTTTTAAAAAAATTACAAAAATTAGAGCAGATTTTCTCGTTGGCGCGCTTGTTGCTCTATGAAGCCACTAAAACATTCAGCTTTAAGACCCTTTAGGCTTTCAATTTTAGCTTTAGCCAAATCATTTAGAGGAGATCTCTCGTACTAAGGCATGAGTATGTAGCCGCCCATTTCCATTGTGCAAAAAGAGCAAGGAAAAGCAAAACCTACCATTCACAGTAATTAATTAGATCATTAGCAGCACAAAAATGCCATGGATCATTAACTAATCAAATGGAATCCTAAAAATATATAGAACACACCTCTCATTAATCCTTAACTCAATCATTTATAGTGATCAACATTAGCAAGATGAAATTAAATTAAGATCATTAAAATCCTCTCAACTAACTTTCTTGTGTTTAACAAAGCATTAAGACAATGATATTTGAACTTTAACTAAATCTCCTAACTATAAGCAAACTAAAATGAATCTGTTGGAGGAGGAAATGAATTTCAAGTCATACCTTAGTGCCTCAACCTTTGTTGAATTTATATTCACCTTTATACATTCTCTCTTAATATACATGAGGTGTATAGGATGGATTATCTTGAGATGCGGGGCTAAGTGTCCTAAGGAGGCTAGTTCCTCGAGCTCACTGTGACAACACCACGCACCTCATAAGATTAGGAGAAAAATAATAAAAAAGGTATATTTAAGTCGCCCCCCCCCCCCCCCCCCCCCCCCCCCCCCCTTCTTTAAAATTTAAAGCTACCTTTAGGGACCTAATCTACTTACCTTAACCACCCAACTATTACACCTTGAGTCAAGTAGAGCCTATACACATCTATAGGTAGTGTTTCACTTTATTCTTATGTCAACTTTTAAAAAATGAATTTACCTTAAACATATAAAGTTTAGGATTTTCTTTTTATGGTGGGTAGTAGACCCATCTTAGTGATGTCACCTTATAGGTATTCCTTGAGTCTTAGATTTCTACCAAGGGATGCAATCCTCGCCACCTTTTGAATGATTTCAGGCTTGATTAGAAGTAGGATTAAGGATGGGCCATTTTGCCCCTCAACTCTTTATAATCTTAGTATAGGTTAGGGTCTAAGCTCCTTTGGACTCTTAATAATTTAATAACTAAAATTTTAATATCAAAATTAAGCTTTAATTAATTCATCCTAAATTGCTAATCACTTAAATATAAACTCGAGGGTTAAAAAATTGAATAATAAGAACTCGATCTTGTAACTCAAACCACTCACCTAATTTTGGGTAATTAGGTACACCTTTTTGTACACACTTTAGTGCTGGATAGGACACTTTTTATAGGCATCCTAGGGTAGGGTGTAGCTAGGATAACCTTTTACACTTTCTTTCTTTTATATTTTGCATATGTGATGATTATTTCTGGCTTGGCTTATTTTTTTGTTATTTTCATTTCCTTTTGATTGATAAGTGGGCACTTACCCTTAAATGGTTAGATTTTATAGAAATATCTTCTGCATGTGGCCAAGTTCCTAAAGGATAATATAAAAAAAAATTATTATTATAAATGCGCTCTTTAATAGGTACTAATGTTGCAACCCATGACCCTGAGTTTGACATTTTGATGATGACAAATAATGTCGTCTGAATTATCTATTCATTGAATATTATTTTTTTTGCTATTGTCCGTGAGTACTAATATTTTAGGAAGATCACAAGCTACTCAGGACGACAGGAAGACTAAAGAATGGGTAGATTAGGAGTATGAGTTTGACAATGTATTTTTATTTAGTTTATTTTTATTTTCTTAAATCTGGCCACAAAATGCATAAAAGTCTGAGCAACCATAAACACACACAGGGGGAGAGGGTTTTTTAAAACAAAATTTTGGAGATTTTCTTTCTCTGTAGATCGTACTGTACGACGTTATTTCGTACCGTACGATCTGAGCTTGTAGGACGATTCTGTGAATAGATCATACCGTACAAATCAACATTGTACTGTATGATATTTTCAAATCCAAAACCCTAGCCGTCAAATTAACTGAAGTAAGTTTTTCTTCGTCGTTCATACTGTACGAAGTGTTTCGTGCAGTACGATTTATTTTAAATACTTACTTAAATTAACCTATGATTAATGGAATAATTCAAGGCTCAATTTAAAATTGAATATCGTACTGTACGAAATGGTTCGTACAATACGATAAATAGAGATGAATTCTGATCATCCCGGAGATCGTCCTGGACGAACCATTGTTTTTGCCTCATCGTACAGTGCGATGTAGATCGTACTATATGATGAATAGAGATGACTCTTTATCGTCCCAGAATTCGTCCTGGATGATGCCTTGATTTTGACCATTCATATTGTACGATATGTATCGTACAATATGATGAACAGAGACGACATTTGATCATCTCGGCTATCGTCCTGTACGATCAGTAATGTTGAGGATCGTACCGTACGATTCATTTTCGTATTGTACGAGTTATTTTGAACTATTCGTACATCTTCATACCAGGACGAAGCTTGGTATATATATCATACGGTATGATGAGAAATCGTACTGTATGATAGTAACGGCTACTTTGAAATT